ATCAGCCCTTGCTAGTACCATGTAGTGTGGTGCTGTGAAGGAGCTGACAAAGCCCATCTTGCTGTGCCCAGGCTGCCTCAGGGAAGTTCCTGCCACTGGCACAATGGCTGTACTTTGATGCCCTGGAATGCCTGCCCAAGGATGGAGCTGCATCACTGACTGAGGAATCCTGTGCTCCAGTGAGTACTGTTTCCAGCTGCCCCAGCCACTGTGTCCACTCTCCTGGCCCCCATGCTGGATTGGGAGAAGGGCTTTGGCTCTGCCACCCTCTCTAGTCTTGTGGGGGTCTGGGCATGGACAAGGAGTCCCTAACAGCATGTCTGCCTCTATCCCCAACAGCGTGGCTGCCGCTATGATGGACAAATTGCTGTGTTTGGGGCCAATTTCCAGGAGAGGCTGGGCCAGCAGAAGTACTTTGTGGTGAGCAGAGGGCAGGGACAGCAAAGACAGAACAGGGGCTTTTGCCTTTACCCCTGCAGTGCTGGCCAGGGTCAGGGAACTAGCTGCTATGTGTGAGGAAAAGGTTCTGACGTGAGTCAGTCAGCTTCTAGCTGACTCAGAAAGGCAGTGAAAACCTTGGCCCGGTCTGCTGGCTCCACACCAGGGCCAGACCCAGCTACAGTTAAATGGTATAGCTGCCTATTCTGTATTGAGGTGCTAACTAGCTTCACCCTGGGCCTCAGAGGGAAAGGATGAGTGGGCTCCTAAACTCAGGATTCTTTTCTACCCTCTGGAGGGATGCCCTGAGGGCAGCTTGACCCACTGACAGGGCAGGAAAGAGCTTGTTCTTGGTAGTGAGGGGGGATCCCACAGTCATCCCACATTTTGCCTGCACTGACCTCCAGCTGGCATCTAGGTCACTCTCTTTGCCATGCGATGCCCAAGCATCCAGCCTGTTTAAGTGCAGACATTTCCCACTCCCTACCAGCAGCAGGTGCTGTAGCACCCAATCTGGGATGGGTACTATGCTGGAGATGTGGCTGGGGCCAGTGTTTTGGGGAGGAATCTGGAGTGTGCAAGGAGAGCAGAGTGGATAGGGTGGGAGGGGAGTGAGGAAGTCGGGGGTGGGGTGGGGGAGAAGGAGATGGGAGTAGTATGATCAGCTATAGGTAGCCAGTTTCTTCATGGTGCAGGCATGGCCCCACTGACTGTGTGCCTGTGTGCCAGGTGGGGTCTGGTGCCATTGGCTGTGAGCTGCTGAAGAACTTTGCAATGATGGGGCTGGCTGCTGGCAAAGGTGGAAGCATCACAGTGACCGACATGGACACCATTGAGCGCTCCAACCTCAACCGGCAGTTTCTCTTCCGGCCATGGGATGTATCTGTGAGTGATTGCAGGGTTGAGGTACTGGAGAGCATGTGCACAGGTGCTGAGGCCCAAAGCAGCTGTCATGGGCAGGGGCAAGGGTTTGCCTAGCCAGGCCTGTAAGCACCCAGTCAGTAGAGAGGCAACTAAGCCAGGCATGGTGCAACTGTTTCCTGCCAACCTGCTGTGCCAGTGCTTCTCACTTATGACCTACAGGCCCCTGCTGGCCCAGCTCTGGGCTCCCCTCCACCCAGCTCTACCAGTGTTGCTCCCCCACATCAGCATTCCTAGAGTCAGTTCCCAGCCCAGGGCTGAAAAGGCCCCACAGACGGTGACGATCTGCTTCAGCACCTGCTGCCTGCATCATGTGGCTTTCAGGAAGCACTGACTGAACCCTTAGAGTGAGGGTAGGGGAGCCCAAATACCGATTAGAGGGAGCTCCCATGTCCTTGTTAGCTCCAGCTGCCCAAATCACCACAGTCTTCCTCCTGCCCAGCTTCTGCAGGGAGCTATCCTGCACCAGCAGTGTGGTCTGGAAAGAAAGAAGTGAAGGGGACAGACTTGAGGAGGGGGACCAGACTCCTGTGTTTACTAGGCTCTGGGGCCAAGGCAGGGGCTTCTCTGCCTGCAGCCAGCAGTTCCTGCTAGGAACTTGGTGCTGGCCTTTTCCCACCTGTTTGGTCATGGGAAGTGTCTGGAAACCAGCCGGCTCTGTTAGGATGGGGCATCACTGTTACCAGCACCCTGGCTTATGACAGGAGCCATAGAGCTATGTGGGCAGGAGCCCAAAGCAGAGGTAGATAAGGATCTCCCTGGCCTCTACAACGGGCTGGCTTTCTCTGGGATACTCGGCCTGCTGCACCAGTAGGAGGGATGGAGGGATTCTGTTCCACCTTCCAGACCTGGCCAGGACAGGATCATACCTCCACCCCCATCCAGAATCTTGGTTGCATTCCTCTTGCAGAAGCTGAAATCAGAGGTGGCAGCAGAGGCAGTGAGGCGCATGAACCCGCACATCAATATAGTGGCCCACGACAACCAGGTGGGGCCCACCACAGAGCTGCAATATGGCGAGGACTTTTTCCAGCCTCTTGATGGCGTGGCAAGTGCCCTGGACAGCATGAGAGCTCGTGAGTGCCCAGGAAGGAGCTAGGGCCAGGCTGAGCATGGTCATGCACACCCCATGCCTGTGCCATTCCACATGGCACTGGGGAAATGACCTGATGCCACCTAACTACAGAGCAGCACCTGGGGGCTTAGATGAGAACAGGAGGCTGCTTGCACACTCCTTCAGACTGACTCGCTCTCTGCTCTGCATCCTGCCCTGGTGCTGGGACTTCTCTGGGGACTCTTCTATGTGGGTGGAGTTTACTTGGATTGGGACAGGGGATGGAGTCCATAGAAAGGAAGACTCCCCAACTATGCCCCAGGACCCGTACTCTCTGTTACCCATGGAGTGTGCTTGTCTGGAGGAGTGGAGGAATGGGAATATGATACCTGCGAGGGGAGCTAAAGGAGTCAGATGTTGGTCTCCTCTCAGTTTTTCCTCTCTGTTCAGGGACATATGTGGACAGCCAGTGCATCCGTTACCTGAAGCCACTGCTTGACTCAGGCACCCAGGGCACCAAGGGACATGTGCAGGTCATTGTGCCCCACCTAACAGAACCATTTGGCAATCACAGTGACCCGTTGGAGAAGGCCATTCCTGTCTGCACCTTGCGTCACTTCCCCAGTTCCATCGAGCACACGCTGCAGGTAAGGCCCACCCTAGCATGTAGTGGTTTCCCAATGCTGGGCATGGCCCTTCCACAGACCCAAGTGCACCCCGCTTTGTCTCCCCAGCATAGTTGTTCCCCATGAGGTGGCACCAGTGCTTGGCAGCTAGACTAAGCCTTGGCTTCAGCATCTCCAGTTCCCTGGTAGGGTGGCTGAATGGGTTGGGGTGCTCTCAACAACCATCACCTCAGAGAGGCCTGTGGTTAATGTAGCAGGTGGTTTCATCCAGGGACACCCTACCCCTGCCCACTGTCCTTGTGGGCATGCAGCATGGAGTGCACTCCCTAGTGTGCCCTGCTATGGGCCTCTGTGCTTCAGTCTGTGTGTATTTCAGAAAGAAGAAATTCCTCAGCACCAGGCCTGGTCTTAGCCAGTGAATGGGAACAAGAGCAGAGAAAGAGCTGTCAGGGCTGCAGGCAGGTTACAGAGCCCAGCAGCATCCTGGCTGGAAGCCCCATTGCCACATGTGCATTCTTGCCGCTAAGCCCCCATGCTGGTCTGAGGCAGGGGTTTTCAACCTTTTTGGGTCAGTGTACCCCTGGTGGCCAGTTGAGAAAGAAGGAGTACCCTGGCAGTTGGTCGCCAAGTACCCCTTGAAGCCTTACCAAGTACCCCCTGGTCTAAGGCATGCCAGACTGCTCCACTGTTGCTTTTTTCCCTCTCATGGCAGTTAGGACCACTCGTATGTATCGAAGGAAGCCACTGCTGTATTTTCCCTCAGAAATGCACCGGCTGCGCCACTGCTTACCAGGAGAAACTTCAGAGGGGATGGAGGTCTTCTGGGGAGGACAGGGACCTTGGCATGAGATCTGGCTGTGCAGGGCTATGTAGGAAAGCAGGGGGCTACCTCAGCATCCAGTCCATAGTCCCCTGTTAGTTCCTCTGGCAGCCCTGAATTGGTTACTGCCTGCCTAAGCTAAGGGGGCTCTGGGTATCATTGCAAATTAGAGGACTTCCAGGAGTGGAGCTCCTGCCCCCCTGCCCCGAGTCCTGAGAGAGGGTGCTAGATGGACAGCTCCCATAGCAGGGTTGCAGACAGTCTGGGTGTTGAGTTCCAGGGCTCTTGCCACCTGCACAGGTTGTACCAGGCTTCAGGAGCAGGGACCAATGTGCTTACAGGTTGCCACATCTTGGCAGCCCTGGTACTACAGGCTCAACCATGGGTAGGGGGGTCTTGGAGGGTTGATGTTGGAATTTGAGGGGTGGGGATCCTCCACGCTGTGTCTGACCCTCTTCTCTCTCCCAGTGGGCCCGTGATGAGTTTGAGGGGCTCTTCAGGCTGCCTGCTGAGAATGTCAACAGATACCTGCAGTGAGTGTTAGCATGAGGATAGGCCTGTGGCTCAGCCATAAGGGAATTTGGGGCACAGAGCTGGGCTTGCTCTTCCTGTGTCTTTTGTGTTTGGGGGCTCCCATTTCCATCCTGCCTCAAGCAAGGAACTGGTATGACATGGCCACAACTCCCAGCAGGACTGGGACACACCAGGACCTTGGTCCTCCATGGCTTTCATGTGAACAAGTCAGAGCCCTGGGACTGGCCGCAGCACAGACAGGCCATGTCCTTTGTTATCCATGGTTCTCTCATCAGCTTTTGCTGATGATGACCCCAGCAGCTGTGAGATTCCTGGGCTCCAGCACTGGGCCTCTCAGGGCCTGGGTTGTCACACTAGCCTTCACCTAAGTGGCCCAGGGCTTCTGAGTTCTAGCCTCAGCTTTCACTCCTTGCCAGGGTACTGAAGTTCTTCTCCCACATTACCTTTTTGGGTGGTGGTTGGGGGAGGGTGGAGATGAAAAGGTTTGTGAGAGCTTGAAGTGCTGAACACTGCCATGTCTCACAGGGACTCAACTTTCCTGGACGGGCAGCAGCCAAGTATGGAGGCACTAGAGGTCCTGGAGCTGGTGCGCAGTAGCCTGCTGGAGAAACCACAATCCTGGCAGGACTGTGTGTACTGGGCCCGGCAGCGCTGGGAGAGCCTTTACCACAACAGCATCCAGCAGTTGCTGCACAGTTTCCCCCCTGACCATGTAAGAGCCACCCTGCAGTGTCCCAGATCATGGCCCAAAATGTGCCCTGTCTCAGCCCTGGGAGCCTCCGCACATTCTGTATCCCATTATGCCCCTAGGAGCCTTGCTGCACCCTGCATCTCTCACTCAGTTCTTACCTCTCAATCTCCTGCTCTGGAGACTCCCCAACCCGTGCCCACTCATTTGCTTCCCACATAAATCTCAAGGCTCTCTTCAAGTCCACATGTCCCACACCAGAGTCCCTCCCAGGACCTGGAGTCACTGCCTTCTTCCAGGTACACTGGCTTGTTAGTATCCCAACGTATCAGGAGGAATGCTTGAAAAGCTGTGCATGGGCTAGGTGGGTCCCTGTGCTCCCAGCCTGAGCCCTTGCTTGGCTGAGCCTGACCATCCATGCCTGATCTGTGCTTTCCCTGTCCGCAGGTGACCAGCTTGGGGATCCCCTTCTGGTCAGGGATCAGGAAATGTCCCCGGCCCCTGGAGTTTGACTGCAACAATGTAAGTACGGAGCTGGGCCCCTAGGACAGGGCAATGCCTTTGGTGGGAGCTGGCAGCCAGGGGTCAGCACTGGTGCCAGAACTATGGCAATGCCACAGGAGGGCCTTTTGGCAGGATCTAGATATGGCGCACAGTGCCCTGGAACAGGGAAGGCAGCTGCAAAGATGGTGTGTGCAAACACCAGGGGTGCAGCCATTGAGGTGAGGGACTGTGTGCAAGAGTAAGGCTTTGATAGGTGTCAGTGGTGTGGAGGGATGGGTCCCAGGTAGCTGCAGAAAGATTTGCTAGTACAAGTGTGCACCTCCTTTGGGTGGGTCACAGCCCAGCCTGGCACACCATTTCTCTGGAATCTGGCATCAGTGCCCAGTACCTCAGGGCTTATCCCAGCAGTTTTGGTACAGTTGGCAATGGGCACTTGAAGAGCTGGTCAGAGCCTCTACTCATGCTTCTAACCAAGGGGAACACGGGTAGTCCTGTCTCACAGTGAGCCAGCCCTGGGGTCCCAACTGAAGCTGTTCCTGTCCCTGTCCCCCATAGCTCTGCCTGTCCTGGATCCAAGTGTCCCAAGTTGCTTCCCCCTTCAACAGCCTCTTGCACTGCTCAGCCACTCCTGGAGTTCACCCCAAGCACCCCAGATGTGAATCTGGCTCTTCCCCATCTGCCCTTTCTAGCAATGGGGCATCATGGTGTCCTAGGACCAATGGGTAGCTGGGCAGTGCTGTGTTCTGGGCAGCCATGCAATGCTTGGGGCTGTGCTTTCTGCTATGTTGCTGATCACAACAGTGCAGTACTGCATACACACATGCAAAAGTGGTGCCCGAGGTAGCTGTCCCATTCGCCTCCCTCTCTATTATGCTACTGCCTGGGGTCTTGTTTACCCTGGGCATGGGCAGCCAGTACTTTGCCCTTTGGACAAGGGGGTGCCCATACCTATATCCTGGGTGGAGGAGCCTCTGCAGCAGCCTGGTTCCCTGGAAAACCAGTTCTGAGAGGACGGACTCCTAGAAGGGTAGGAGCTGGAAACTTGTGACCTCTGGCAACAAAAAGTCATCGTCCCCACCTGCAGCAGTTTGCCTGGAAAATAGACATGGAGCTCTAGCAACAGAGGAGGAGTGCATTCCATTGGTGGAAGAGGCCAGGCCAAGAATCCCCAAGGTGGGGAGGATCAAAGACCACTGCCACGAAGAAGAAGCGGTGGGTGGTGGTGGTTGGAGACTCTTCTGTGGGTGATGGAGGCATCTGTCTGCTGGCCTGACCTGTTGTCCTGGGAGATCTGCTGCTCGCCTGGAGCCCAGATCCAAGATGTCACGGAAGGTTTACCAAGACTCGTCCAAACTTCTGACCGGTACTCCATATTGTTCATCCATGTGGGCACCAGTGATACTGCCAGGAGTGACCCTGGACAGATCAAGAGTGACTACAGGGGTTTGGATGCAAGGGTGAAGTTCTCTTCTATCCTTCCAATCAAGGGGAAGGGCCCAGGCAGGACTGCACATAACCTGCATATCAATGCATGGCTGCAAAGATGGTGTTCTGAGCAGGGATTTGGCGTCTTTGACCATGGTATGTTGTTCCAAGAATAAGGATTGCTAGGAAGAGGCAGGATCCTCTTGAAGAGAAGGAAGAGCATCTTTGTAGACAGGTTCCCTAACCTAGTGAGGAAGGCTTTCAACTAGGTTCACTGGAGGATGGAGCCCAAAGCCCTGAGATAAGTAAGAAAGTGGAAGACAGAGGAAGCACAAGGAGGAGGGGGCAACTAGGGTGGCCTCCTCATTCTTACTGAGAAAGCAGGGCAGTTGGCTAGTTATCTCAGGTATCTGTACATGAACACACAGTCTGGGAAACAAGCAGGAAGAATTGTAAGTCCTTGCACAGTCACAGAACTGTGATGTGATTGGAATAACTGAGACTTGGTTGAATAGCTTGCATAACTGGAGTCATGGATGGGTACAAACTGTTTAGGAAGGACAGGCAGGGGAAAGAGGAGGAGGTGCGCTGTATGTAAAAGAGCTGTATGATTGCTCATAGCTCCAGTATGAAACTGGAGATAGGGCTGTTGAAAGTCTCTGGGTTAAGGACAGAGGAGAGAGCAACAATAGTGATGTCATGGTGGGTGTCTGCTATAGATCACCAGAATAGGAGGATGAGGTAGATGAGGCTTTTTCGGACAACTAGTGGAAGTTTCCAGATCACAGACTCTCATTCTCGTGAAGGACTTCAGTTACCCTGAGAGATGCTGGGAGGGCAATATAGCAGTGTGCAGGCAATTTAGAAAGTTTTTGGAGAGCTTTGGAGGCAACTTCCTGGTGCAAGTGTTGGAGCGACCAACTAGGGGTCATGCTTTTTTGACCTGCTGGGGAAACAGGGAAGAACTGGTGAGGAATGTAGTAGTGGATGGCAACTTGGACAGCAACAACCACAAGATGATTGAGTTCAGGATCCTGAGGAAAAGAAGGAAGGAGAGCAGCAGAGTAAGGACCCTGGACTTAGTAAAGCAGACTTTGGTTCCCTCAGGGGGCTGATGGGTAGGATCCCCTGGGAGGGGGAAAGGAGTCCAGGAGAGCTGGTTGTATTTTAAATAATCATACTGAGGGCACAGGAACAAAACAAACCCCCATGTGCAGGAAGAATAGTAAATATGGCAGGCAGCCAGCTTGGCTTAGCAAAGAACTCTTCAGTGAGCTTAAAAACAAAACAGTTTACAAGAAGTGGAAACTTGGACAGATGACTAGAGAGGGGAATGTAAGAGTATTGCTCAGGCATGCAGGGAAGGCCAAAGTGCAATTGGAGTTAAAGCTAGCAAGGGACATGAAGGGTAACAAGAAGGGTTTCTACAAGTATTTTAGCAACAAGAGGAAGATCAGGGAAAGTGGGTCCTTTACTGAATGGGTGAGGCAACCTAGTAACATGATGAGGAAAAGGCTAAAGTACTTGATTCCTTTTTTACCTCAAACTTCACAGGCAAGGCCAGCTGTCAGACTACTGGGTAGCACAATTTGGGGAGAAGGTGACAGTGGTGAAAGAACAGGTTAGGGACTATTTAGAAAAGCTGGATGCATGGGGCTGGATGCAGTGCATCCAAGTATGCTGAAGAAGTTGACTGATATGATTGTGGAATTGCTGGCAATTATCTTTGAAAACTCATGGCAATCAGGAAAGGTCCTGGATGATTGGAAAAGGGCAAATATAATGCCCATCTTTAAGAAAGGGAAGAAGGAGGATCTAGGGAACTACAGACCAGCCAGCCTCACCTCAGTCCCTGGAAAAATCATGGAGCAGATCCTCAAGGAAGCCATTTCTAAGCATTTGGAGGAGAAGAAAGTGATCAGAAACAGTCAGCATGCGTTCACCAAGGGCAAGTCATGTCTGATCAACCTGATTGTCTTCTATGATGAGATAACTGGCCCTGCAGATGCAGGAAATGCAAGGAAGCTGAGGAAATACAGGTTGGATGAATGGACTGTAAGGTGAATAGAAAGCTGGCTCGATTGTTGGGCTCAACAGGTAGTGATCAGTGGCTTGATGTCTAGTTGGCAGCTGGTATTAAGTGGAATGCCCCAGGGGTTGGTCCTGGGGCCAGTTTTGTTCAGTATCTTTATCCATGACTTGGAAGATGGCATAGAGTGCACCCTCAGCCAGTTTGCAGACAACACCAAGGTGGGGGGAGTAGTAGATACACTGAAAGGTAGAGCTAGGATTCAGAGTTACCTAGACAAATTGGAGAATTGGGCTAAAAGGAATCTTATGAGGTTAAATAAGGAAAAGTGGTAAGTCCTGCACTTAGAATGGAAGAATCCCATGCTCTGCTACAGGCTGGCGGACTAACTGGCTAAGCAGCAGCTTTGCAGAAAAGGACCTGGTGGTTACAGTAAACAATAAACTGGATATGAGTCAGCTGTGTGCCCTTGTTGCCCAGAAGGCTAACAGCATACTGGGTTGCATTAATAGGAGTATTGCCAGCAGATTGAGGGAAGTAATTATTCCCTTCTGTTCAACACTGTTGAAGCCATGTCTGGAGTACTGTGTCTAGTTTTGGGCTCTCCACTACGAAAAGGATATGTACAAGTTGGAAAGTGTCTAGTTGAAGGTAATGAAAATGGTGAGGGGGCTGGGGCATATGACTTCTGAGGAGAGGCTGAGGGAACTGGGCTTATTTAGTCTGCAGAAGAGAAGACTGAGTAGGGATTTGATACCAGTCTTTAACTACCTGAAGGGTGGTTCCCAAGAGGATGCAGTTAGGCTATTCTCAGTGGTGGCAGATGACAGAACAAGGAGCGATGGTCTCAAGTTGCAGCAATGGAAGTTTAGGTTAGATATTAGCAAAAACTCTCATTAGGAGGATGGTAAAGCACTGGGAGCAATTATCTAGAGAGGTGGTGGAATATCCATCCTTGGAGGTTTTTAAGGCCCAGCTCAACAGAGCCCTGGCTGGAATTATGCAGTTGGGGATGGTCCCTCTTTGAGCAGGGGCTTGGACTAGATGCATGCCTGTACGCAAGCACAGATGCTGCTCTGATGTGCTTTAATTACAGACTCAATTACAGACTCAATCAATAGAGTCTGCTAGAGCGTGGCAATTACTGTGCTCCAGCAGCCTCCCATGTCTTGTGTATCAGTGTCCCTGTGTTTCACAATGGCAGCAGGGGCGTTTTGCCTACAGCTTGTTGAACAAGCTTTATTTCAAGCTCCCCTGTCATCATTTTGAAGCATGGGGACGCTAATACACAAGATGCTGTGGCGCTTTAATTAGAATAGCTCCTGGAGCACTGCCTCTCTACACCCAGAGTATATGTAAAAGTGCCCAATGTCTTCCTGAGCTCCCTTCCATTTTGTGATAAGTGGGGGGATATGATGGGAGAAAAAGATGGTAGGGGATGGCTGTGAGACAGCAGGAGAGTCCCACTGAGTCTGGCCATGCCTGCAGGATACCCACATGCAGTACATCATGGCTGCCGCCAGCCTGTTTGCTCAGATGCACAAGCTACAGATGTCTGGGGACACAGCAGCCATCCAGGAGACCCTACATTCTACGACCTTGCTGCCCTTCAAGCCACAGGCTGGGGTGAAGATCCCAGTCACAGATGAGGAGTTGCAAGAGACATCGACTGCAGCTGGTAAGGAGTTCCTGCCCTGCCTTGCCCTGCCCTGCCTAATAACTGCATTGCTCCCTGAACAGATGATCCTGGGAGCCTTGGGGGTGTATGAAGGAGGGGGGCACTCCTAGCAGCCTTGTCTGCTGCTTGCTCTGGATCTTTAGATCTACCCAGCAGAGCCCATTGCTTGAAATACTTCCTGCTGCCTTGCACAGGCCTGCTGTTCCAGATCTGTGTCAGTGTCTCTTATGCACTACAACTGACAGCACCTCACTTCCTATGTAGGGGTTAGTTGATGACCCCAGTCATTGACTGCCAGTCTTCCACATGTACCTTCCTTGACAGCCTAACAGAGTGGCTCAGCTTCTGTACCCTCAGCCCCTGGTGAGTGGTGGGTTCTGGTTTCAAGGAGCACTCAGTCCTGACTCATTCCTGTTTAAGCCTTTGGTGTGGTTCGCTTGCAACCCCATATACAGACAAATGGTATGCAACAAGCACCCTGGAGATGGCTGTTTATGGGGCTCCTCTGGAAGACAGAGGCTGTGACAGCCCTGACTCTGACCATTTCCTCCCAAGCCCTGCCTGACAATAGCCAGGCAACAGCACGACTAGAACTCTCAGATCCCTGCAGGACACTGCATTGCTGAGGCGGCCTTTGCACTCATTCATGCCAAAACTGACAGGTAATGGTGTATGAGGGTATGCAAACACTGCCCAGTGTTGCTGTCAAACAGGCACACTGAGTCCTCCTTGGGAGGTCCAGCTGACTGGTTTCTTATGGACACTGACATGATCACTGGTCCAACTTGGCCCAAGTCTCAGGCACCCCAGGCAGTGCCCCCCTCATGTCCACAGGGATAGCAGAGTCCATGTGGAAAAGACCTCGGTTCAGTCCATGGAAGGACACAGGTGCTCAGTCCTGGGACCTTTGCCAGTATCCTCTCTGCTTCTGGGTCATGTATCCCCTAAAGTGACATGGCTCTGACTGTGCCTGGAGGGGTCTGAGATAACAAGAGGGTCACTTCTCCCTCCACTCACTCTGTTCCCCTACAGATGAGGGTCGTTTGGCAAAGCTGAGTCAGGAGCTTGCAGAGCTCCGCCATGAGCTGGTGAGGAAGAATCTCTGCAGCGCCTACCTTATGGAACCAATTCACTTTGAGAAGGTACCAGGAGCTGTTTTTCTCTAACTGGCTTTCTTTTGGCTTCTCCATTCAGGAGACAGACCCAGCTGCCAGGGCACAGAAGATTGTGGTGGGAAAGTGGCACAAGAAGTTTTGGGTCTTGGTGCCTGTGGCCCTGGCTGGTTTCCCAGGGGAGTGGGTCTGCAGGAGGATCCCATGGGCAGGGCACTATGTACAGTTCCATAGATGGGGAGTATGGCCCTGCAGTTCCACAAGGGCATTCCTTTATCAATGCTACCTCTCCCTGACAGCTGTTTGTCACTGCCCATGTCTAACCACAGCCTTCACACCCAGGGGATTGGGCTGGTTCCTACAGTGCTCCAATTGATGGTGGGCCTGGAGCTGCCAGCACAATTATGGCTGAGCAGAGTCCTTAGCGCTAGGTGCAGGATCCCCCTCCAGCCCCTACTCAATCGCTGGGGAGCAGCATGCATACCCTTACACACCCTGGCCTTTCAGTTTTGGTATGAATGGGTGCAAAGGCCCTCTCAGCAATGCAGTGGTCCTGCAGGGATCTGAGGTCCCTAGCCATGCTGTTGCCTGACTCGTCAGGCAGGGCGTGGGCAGGAGTGGTCGGTTGGAACTATCACAGCCTGTCTTCCAAAGGAGCCCCATAAACAGCCCTCTCCAGACTGGCAGCCATTCTCCATGGAACTACTGGGACTGAGGTGCTAGCCTCTTGCTCTTGACCACTTCTGACAGCCAGAGGGTCTCTGCTGTCCCAAGAGAGGCAGCCACCAAGCCCTGTCTTTGGGAGGTTTGGTACCACCTTTGGATTCTCATTCTGCTCTCTCCCTCACTGTTCTCTGCAGGATGATGATAGCAACTGCCACATTGATTTTATCACGGTCGCATCCAACCTACGAGCTGAGAACTATGGCATTCCGCCTGCTGACAAGTGCAAGGTGAAAATCTATGATGCCCCTAGGAGTGAGTCTATGGCAGGAATGTATCTATAGCATCCCTATGGGGAGATTGGGGCTATTACATTCCCAGGCAGAGGAGCCTGGTTGGGAGGTCCTTTCCATATCTTACACAGCCCTGGGGAGCTGCTGCTGATGTGCTTTCCCCAATTGCCCACAGAGCAAGCGGATTGCTGGCCGGATCGTGCCTGCCATTGCCACCACAACAGCAGCGGTGGCTGGCCTGGCATGCCTAGAGCTCTTCAAGTTGGTATGGGGGCACCAGCACCTCAGCGCCTACTGTAACAGCTTCCTGCAGCTCTCAGAGCCCCGGCTTACCCGTTTCCAGCCTCTGCCAGCCTCCACTTGCAAGGTATGACTCTCCCAGCCCTGGTATCTGCACCTTTGTTGCCAAGGCTGCTCTTGCCCACAGCATCAGGACAGGGCTGTTTGGGCAAGGGCTCAATCTGTCCCTGCACTGGCTGCACTCCTAAGAGCCCTTCCAGGACAACAGGGGGGTATGGTGTAGGGTAGACCTGATGTCTAGAAGGGCTCTCTGGGCATGCTCTCCTCTTTGGTCTAGCATACTCTAAGTGGTACTAAGGGCCTCTATCCTATAGGGAGGGAGGTTGGAGCTTGGTATGGAACAACAGTCTGGCAAATACTAAAGCCCAGTGTGTTGCGGGGAGGGGGGCTGTTGCAGGAAGTTAAATTGAGGCTCAGCACTCTTCTGAGTGACTGAAGCCTCAGTGGTGGGATTGGGCCCTGCACTGTTTCAGCCATCCCCTCTGCACCCAGATCAGCACTCCCCACCCCCATATCTAGCATGCAGGGCCATGCTATCCTGCCCATAGGGCTTCCCACAGGTCCAGAAATTTAGCATGAGAACAGCAGCCATTGCTTCCCTTCAATCACATTTTTGGACCCATGGGGAGCCTTGAGGGCCAAGTGACATGGCTCCACAGACCAGATCTGATCCTCAGGCCAAGGGTTGAGCACCCCTGGCCTAATGGGCTCACTTCCTCTCCTGCTTTAGGTCAGGACACAGCTGCTTCTCAGTGGGCCTTAGGCTTTAGTGTCAAGTTGGTCAAGCTGTCCTTGGCAGCACTGCCTACATTGCACTGATGAAAGAGGAGAGCACATCTCTGAGTAGGATGCCCTAGACACTGCAGTGACCTCCACAGCTCTGGAGGTATCCCAGCTCTGAGGATAGCTGGCTGAGCTATAGCTGGGGACAGTGACGAAGCAGTATCCCCTCATTGGGACATGGGTGAACATTGCCCACATATCCCATTTCTGTCCACGTTGACAAACACCCCCTTGCTGAGATCAGCCCCCCGTTGCATGAATGCTGCATGCCTGCTGACCTAGTGTAGTCCCCTCTGCAGACCAGAAGAGGGCTGAGTTCAGCAGCAGATGCCTGGAGCAGGGAGCCTGAGAGAGGCAGAGCAAGGCTGCCTGGGAGCTGTCAGGCACAGGAAATGGGATTTAGGCCTGTGGCTGCCTGGGCAGAGGGCCAAACAGCAGAGAGCTTTAACTCCTTTCTGCAGCCTGCAAGCCCCCACAGCCTGGGCTGATAGCCAGCCTTCTCCACCTCGCCCTGCTAAACTGCCCATCCTCAGTTGCAGCCAGGCCTCCTTGAACAACAGGATCATCGGACTGCACGGGACTGGCTCCAGAGCCAGAGCTAAACTGGCTTGGGGACTCTGCTCCAGAGCTCCCTGCTCGCCCAGGCACCCTCCCTACCAGAGCTTTTGGCCATGGGCATTCTGGCATCCTGACCTTCCCAAAGCTACCTACCAGCACCAGCTCTTTGTCAGATGTGGGTTTCCCAGGGAGTGAGGAACCCTAGAGCAAAGCAGAATCAGTTCCTTAAGCCTAGGCCATGGAGTTGAGGGAAAGTAGAATGATGGTAAGGCACAGTGGATTAATTTATTGCCCTTCCCTGCAACAAGATGCTGGAAATTCTTCAAGACAAATCCCACACCCACTTCAGCAGAGCAGAAACCAAGGCGTAATCCTCTAGAAGTGGATCCAAGTTATCATTCTGAAGGTGCTGGCCATGTCTCCATTGTTACAGCAAAGCTGAGTTTGGCCCCTGAGACAGGTGTCCCCTGGCTCTTGGCGCTCAGTGGAAAGCATGGCTCCAATGTTACTTTGAGTTTTGCTCATTCCTGTGAGGGGTTATGGGCTGCAATAAGACACTGCCAGTGCACACCCAGGTTCAGTCAACAATGTCCAGCACTGGCCTAACCTGGTTTCCAGCTAGCTCAGGACAGGAGGATAAAGACTGTTCTCCTGGGGGCTCCCACCCTAACGAAACAGGTGTTTTGGATTTTTTGCGGGGGGAGGTGAAGGGGGGAATATATATACACATCATCTAGCATAAACTTTTCATCACACCTTAAACCACATTAAGAAACTGCACACCCACTCCCTTGCGCCCCCTTGCACCCAACCGCTGCCCTTCCCTAACCCAATCACAGTCCCTTAGTCCAGGCCCCGATTTGGGGTTTAGAGTCTCAGTTTGTTCACTGTCCTTGTCACTGTCACGTCCGTTGCTGCTGATCCTGTTGCTGTCTTCATTGTTGTCTCCCGGTTCAGTTGCGTTGTTGTCCTCTTCGTTCTCCCTGTCCACTTCCCCTCCCAGGGGTCTATGCTCACAGGGTGCGGGTACAGGAGCAGGAGAGGATACAGGAGCAGCCCTATCTGCTATTGTGGGGCATGTGGAGATGTCCTATAAGCAGGGTTAGGGAGAGCAGACTGTTACAAAGGAGTCAGCTTCTCTTAGTGGCATTCATCTCACAGTGGCAGTGATGGGACAGAGATCACAAACTCTCCCCAGCAAAAATGGCCACTCTCCCTTTGGTTCCTTACTGTTCTTCTCTGCCTTCTGACAGCCCAGGGACCACTTCTTCCCTGAGACATCTTGGCTTCTGGGGGAGGCAGGGTTGGGAGGAATAGGCACTTGGGAAAGGCAGGGTAGGCTCTGTGAAGAGAATACAGAATATGCACCAGCCCCTGAGGTGAAAGACGCTCTCAGCTCAGAAAAACATGGCCAAAAAGGCTAAGGGCCCTGCATGTGGATTTGTTAACTCCCCAGATCAACTTCCAGTAAGCAGGGAGCACTGGGAGGTGGGGGCTTGCAGGAAGCTAGGAGGTGATGAGAAACTGAGGGCTGTAGAGGAGTGGGGTTATACAGGGAGGTTGGAGGGGACACGTTGGGGCATGCAGGATGATGCAGGAAGCAGGATGTCAGGGGCAGGGAAAGCTGTTTATGCAGGGGAGGGGGACACACTCCAGCTGTCTTACACTGCTCTGGTTATGAAAAGCAGCTGTAAACTTAACTTCTGCTTGGCAGTGGGCCATCTCTGAGGTTGTGGGAGAGGGGGATGGGCAGCAAGGCTGTGGGACGCCTGTTTCTGAGGGGCTGTCGGAGAACCCTCTGTTTCTGTGTGGGGTCTTCCCTCTGGTGTGCAGGGGATGGCCTGGGGGCATGGCTGGGACTGGGGCCAATCCCCATGGCCTTCCACAGGCCACCCCTCAGCAGCACCACTGTGTGCAGGAGCTGGCCTCTCCCTCCCCTGCTGTGCGCTGTTCCCTTGGCTGGCTGTGCCCCAGCACCCGGCTCCCTGCCCAGCACTCTCTGCGAGGCCTGGCCCAACAGGGCCAGGACATGCACAGCCAGTCCCCAGGGACGGCCTGCTCCTTCTCTGCATGCTTGCAGATGTGCCAGAGAGAAACCAGAGCTCGAGTGGGTGTGGGGGGGAGGGAGCTTAAATTGGGACCGTCTGTTTCAATAGAAGCCTCTTTGTCTGGGGGTTTATGGAGTGCAAGGCCTGGCTTCCTGCTGCACAGGAAACACTGATTGGAACCAGATTGGCTGGGGGCTAGGGCCGGGGCAGGAAAGGGGGGGAGGGGAAGACGCCTTCCGAGCTGCCATTTCAACTCTAACAATATTCATATCTCAAGCCCTGCTGCAGTTTATCACTGCTCCCTAGGACTTGACATGGCTATGTGGGCTGTGCCAGCTGGGCATATAGACTCTTCCTCACAGCAGGGGCGACCACTATGCTGATCAGGCACTAACAGCAAACGGAGACCATACCCACCCCACGTCCTGGAGCACAATAACCCATAGTGCTGCACTGGGACTGGCTGGCCCAACCCCTGACAATATCAGTGTTGCCAACTCTCATGATTTTTGGCGTTGTTCTTAAAGTTGACACTTCAGGAATGTGAAGCGCAGCTCTTACTATTTTAGCTCTTACTGTTTTATATATGTATATAAATAAAAAATAAAAGAAAGAGCTAAGTTTTTCACATTCCCAAAGTGTTGACTTTAAGAACAACGCCGAAAATCATGAGAGTTTGCAACACGGCATCCCATAGTGCTGCCCTGGGGCAATGGGGCTGACTGACTGCAAAGGGGGAGCTCTCCCACCCAGCTCCCCAAGGCACTGGGATTTCATCCAGCGGGAAGGGATGTGCAGCCCCCGTTCTGAGACCTGATCTTTGTTGGGGCAATCCCCATGCTTTGCAGCCTGATCCAGCCAGGACATAGCTCCCCTACACGTGAATGGCACAGGAAAGCTGTGTGGAGCCTCTGGATCAGCTGAGGAGAATGAGGTGGATGGCAGTGCCCAACTTAGATGAGCTCTGCATAGCAGAGGCAAGAGGCCTGCTCAAGAGGAGTGTTTAGGATAGAGGCTGTGCTCCACAGCAAAGACAGAGTTAACTGCTAGTTCTCAGCATAGGGAGGCAGTTAAGACAGTCATTCAGGCATTAAAGGCCATTGCCACCCTTGTGAGGAAAGCCAGTCAGGCCTGGGAGGGGGTTACCCAGGCCCTGGGAGGTCTCTGCCAGGTTCTGGTCCTGCTATCCCTGTGAAGGGTGGTGAGGGTGAGCAGAGGGAGTCCTGGGGCTGGGGAGGGGTAGGCAGCAGTGGGCTGAGGCAAACCCTGCCTCCCCTCCAAACCATCCCAGCATGTGGTGAAAAAAAATGGTGAGGCCAGATGCACCAAAAGGCCACAAAGCTGGATGCCTCCAGGGAGAACTAATCCTGCCCTCCCCAGCTCCAGGCAGCCAGCTGCCTCCCCCACTGTTCACGGCCAAGGCTGAGGGCTATGTTACAAGTTCCAGGGCTTCAGCCGCAGCTCTGCCATGGTCTTACAAGAGCAGTGTGGTCTGTGTTGCCCTGGCAAGCTGGGTGTGGGACAACCTGCCCTAACAGTGACATATATGACCCATAGGCTGAACAGATAGAGCAGCAGTTGCCACCCCAAACTCCTGGGTCCATTCCCAGGTCTCACACAAATCACTCCTAGGAATTTAAACAAGTTCCATCCCTCTGTGCTTCATTTTTCCCCCTCCACAAGCATGTTATGCTGCATTTTGCTGCAGACATGCTTGTTACTCCTCCTTTGACCAGGTAGGAAACAGAACCTACCCCAGCGCAGAAAGCGGGGTCTGCTTGGGGGTCTTCTCTGGGACAGATGCAGGCTTATTTCAGGGCAGAGAGCACTTTATGGAGTAGATTGGGTGGCAGTCTGAGACTGGTCCAGTTTAGGATGACAACCACATTGACCCTGGCTGAACAGCCTCATGTGGGAGTCAGTGCAGTATTGCTGTTATCTGAATCATGGCCAGGCCCTGAGCTGGCACATTGTGAGATGATCCACACCAAGGCCAAAGAGACAGTGCTGTGGGCCAGGGATATCATGGACTGATTCAGCTGAGCAACTCTGGGAGCTGTCAAAGACCTAGCACAGCTGGAGGTTTGGGAGGATGGGGATCATCATCCAGAGGTGTCTGTGCTCTTTATGCTTTGCCCATCCTGCCCAGATGTGCATCCTGAGCCTGATGGCAATGCTGTTGGCCTCCTACGGCCTTTTCTGCCACTGATAGCTCTGTGAACAACTGGGTTTGCATGGGTCCTGGTAGAGGTTAGCCAGTCCTGTTAGAATAAACTGAACAAGCCAGCAGCTGCTGAGCAGCCCTGGGCTGCCAGGACACTGCCCCTTTGTGTGGTCACTGGCCTCTCCACTTCTGCTGCATTCTGTGCCAGCGGGTGGACAGTCCCTCAGAAAGGCCTTTGTTGTAGAGACCAGAGCTGCCCCCAGGCAGGAGCCAGCTGGGTTACAGGCTGGGGGCGTGGCAAGTCAGTGTTGGGCAGAAGAAGGGGTGATTGTGCTTGGGATGAGCAGTATTTCAATGGGCCTCTGTGTGGGTCTGGCCCAACCTGACCTCTCCTCCACAAGCTCTGCAACCACTCCCTATCACAGCCCAGCACAAAGCACAGACAGCAGTAGGGCCCAGTCTGCAGGCCAGTAATAGGCCTTGCCCTGAAGAGTCTTGAGGGTGCCACAGCCTGAGGGTATGTGCACATTGGGGCCCTAGTCTTTTTGCCCAGGCTCAGCTCTAGCCCTGTATGGATGTGCTGTCCCTACATCAGGTAGGGTATCATAACCTTCCTCTCTGCAGGTAAACATCTGAGCTCTACAGGACAACAGCTGGGGAGGTTGGAGATTCATGCAATGTTTGCTTTGTGCGTTGGGGCTGCCCTACCTCCCCCACTGAATGCCCAGTTCCAGGGCCACAGGTGCTGAGCTGACTGTCCATTAAGAATAGCTGTGCACTCCCCAGAGCAAGGGTCCAGCAGACCAGGCATGGCCTCCTACAGCTGCCAAGCTAGTGCGCCCTCACTCAGGACACCATCCTGGCAGTGGAAACTGATAGCGGCATACATGGTTGAGCTGCTTCTGCCTCACCTTGCCTCCCTGCTCTCACTAGCAAATGTCAGGCAGAAGATGCAGGGAGGAGGCATGCCAGTTCAAGCCTGGTGAGGATTTTGCATTCTGGGATGAGTTTGGTTCTTTCTAAAGGGGAGGGGCTGTACCATTCACGCCTGCCCTCATGCCAGGCTCTGCTGACCCATGACCCAGTATTCTTGGGCACAGTTTGGGAATTCCATGGCTGTACTGAGGGGTATCAACCAGACAGGGAAGTAAGCAGGAGCCAGGATGGATAGGGGGATGGCTTCTGTTAGATCCTCTTTCCTCCCAGGTGCTGAGGCACTCTGAGCTGGCCTGGGGACTTGTGGGGAGGGCAGCCTCAGCAAGCTGGCTCCAGCAGTCACCCTCCCTTTATGACTTTCTGTGTTTAGTATGGCCAGAAGATGTGGAGCTGCTGGGACCGGTTCAGGGTGCAAGGGATCAGAGATGATGGAAAGGAGATGACACTGCAGGAGCTTCTGGACCATCTCAAGGTGAAGAAGCCTGCTCCTGCCCTGCCGGTGGGAGCCTGGCTCTGGAGAGGGGTTCTGAGAATAAGGATTCCCTCTTACACTGAATCACCCTACTCTTGCCTTTCCCTGCAGAATCCTGGCCATTTCTGTATGAAGATTTGTGACATGGCTGCCCCCTTTCAGAGAGGCTGGGTCTCTGTGCCCATGTTACTCTGACAGATGGGGGAGCACATCCACCAGACCACTTCTCGTGGGGGGATGTCAGTGCTGCACATGCACACAAGATATTCACTTGTGCATTTGGGGGCCTCAAATGGCTTCCTGTCAAATTCAGTTTTCCCCCAAAATTCCAATTTCTGGTGAATTGTTCAGATTTTCATTTAAACCCCAAACACTGTTTCAGAAGTTCCTCACAAAATTATGATGAGTAATGTTCATTTTTCTGCAGCAGTTGGGGGAAGTGATCACCATTTAGAGATGGTTACAAGGTGCAGCGCCAGGACTTTGCCACCCAGCCCCTGGTACTGCAGGCTGTGGTATCAGACCATTTTTCAGGGGCTGATGAGCAATACCATTGCCTTCCCAAGTGGAGCCACCCTGAAACGGGTAGATGCTCAATTCACACTGTTCTCATCCCACTTTCTGCTGTTCTTTTGATACATGAAAAATGAAAGTGAGTGACTGAAAGCCCCTGCTCCCAGGACAAGCTTATCTGCTCACTCTTGTCTTGCAGACCGTTCATAGTTTGGCGGTGAGCATGCTGCTTCATGAGCAGGCCACCCTCTACCACAGTCTCTGGAGCAAGCAGAAACAAGAGGAGCGACTCATCCAGAGGTAGGCTGTGTGCTCGGCCCATCTAGACCCAAGGATTTGCATCTTTCTATGCATCTAGAAGGGCCAGGGTTGTGTGTCAGGACTGAGGGACACTGGCAGAGCTGTGTATATGACAGGAGCTGGATACTGGGACAATAGGGACTGCAGATCAGAATTCAAGGTAAAGGTGGAAGGGATTGTGCTCCACAAGAATGGGTGCATTGAGGCATTCTCAGCCCATACTTACAAAAGGTGCTCCGCTGACTGGTCCTCTGGCTGTGCAGCTGTTACTGGAGCTGTCTTGTCAATCTGTCTGTGTCATTGTAGTGCCAGTAGGAGGTGAGGGGGCTGAGAGGTCCATGGCTGGTTATAGCACCTGTGCCAAACCCCTCCCCATGATAATGGAAATGCTTAGAGGGGCTGCCAGCACTGTTATCCTAGGGAGTGGTGGGCATGGTGGGACCCAGACCCTGACATCCCTCCCCAACCTGGTACCATGCTCAGCCTGCTGTGTCCAGCTTCCCCAGCTTGCACAACCACTTTTGTTGGACCAATTGACTCCAGCTGCCCCCTTCTCCTACAGCTCGCCAGGGCTCTTCCTCCTTAACCCAGATGTTCATCTACATTCCCTTCCCTGGCTCCCCAGAGCTCTTGGGCCCAGTGGGTATGTGGATGTACACCAGAAGAGGCCATGAAGAGCTGAGCTGTGCCCCTCCCATCCAGGCTGAGCTCCTCCAGCTGCCAAGCTCATCCTAGCAGCTGCAAAGCCTCGCCCTGGCCTGCCTGCCCTGCAGGATAAACATCCTGCTGTCAATCCTTCCTCTGCCTGGAGCTGGGGCCCCAGCCCAGCCCTGTACTGGCTTCCCCAGCAAGAAGCTCAGGACAGGCCTCTGCAGGCTACCTGCTCAGCCATCCAGTGCTAAGCAGTGACCCAGTCCTATGCTGACAACCTAGGCTGTGGCTAGGATGGCATTGACACCACACTAGGCTGTCAGGAGGGTCAGAATGGGGCTACTGTGGCTGTTGAGCCCTATTAGACAATTTCAGGTGTTGGAGCCCCTGTGAATGCTGCACCCTAATGCCACCATGCACAGCCTGCCAGCCTTAATACCTCGAACATACCGAGACAAGAGGAGAACCCAGAGAGGGGCAGTTACAGACTCCCTGAGTGTGCCATGGGGACACTAAACCTCAAAGCTGTACAGACTTCTCCATGGCAAGCTCAGGAACCCAAATCACCCACCCACTTCCCCCCCCACCCCCAACCCCCAAGTACAGACCATGCTTCGCAGTCCCTGGGGGACCAGTGTTCCTGGGGAAACTGAGGCAAGGAAGAGCATTTGAGTGAGTTGTCCTTTGCATTCAGTTCTGGTCCTTGGCTAAGGCAGCTGGGGCCATTCCCAGGGACAGCTTGATGTCTTTCAGCTGATGCCCTAGCTCTACTGGTTGAGTTGGTTGGATGGTGCATGCCCTGTCCATGCCAGTGTGTGCACCGAACAGCACCCTCCATGCTGGAGTTTCACCTTGTCCTTGGCATGAAAACCCTTTTTCTTCCATTGCACTAGACTGACCCAGCTTGTAAGAGGTGATGCCAATAATGCAGTACAGCAGCTGCCTCCTGTCCTGGTGCTGCAGGTCATCTGTGAAGATGAGGATGATGACACCACCTTACCCCCCATCCACCTCCGGCTCCACTGAATTCAGTAACTGAAGTCTGCCTCATGTAGGTACAGTGCACTTCCCCTTCAACTCCTATGTTAGCTGGGAGCCAAATGGACAGGGAACACAAGGCAGCCTCTCTTCTGTATCTATGCGGCTTTTCATGGCTGGGCTTGATAGGGCACTTCTGCATAGATAATAAAGCACTGATGCCACCCTCATCAAGATAAATGCTTAATAAAACCTGTGATGATTGCTGCAGTTGGGAGCCTGCCCATGTCAGAACTCAGACTCTGCTGAGTCCATGAGGCCCTTTGTGCAGCTCAGCAGCATGCCTTGAATTGTCTGTGCCCTCTGATTGCCCTGTCCAATCCTTTCCAAAAGGGCAGGGCCTACTCTGGGCACTGATGGCTGACCCTGTCTAACTGTGGTGCAGAGTAGAAGGGGCAGGCAGGGAAAAAGTGTAGAATCTCAGTATAAGGGGAAGGGAACCTCCAAAAGTTTGCCCTACACAAGCAGTCTTGGCCAGGGGGGCTGGGTGTAGCCAAAATATAGCTGCTGAAGAGCTCTGGCAGGGTCACAAACCTACAGCCAGTGGCATTTCATAGGACAGGGTCCACTCCCATAATGAACTGCTCTGAGCAAGCAAATTGTTTCACATGTGTATATGTGCATCATTAAATGGGTACATGTATGTAGGAACATGTGTGCACACGCAAATGTCTGTGGGAGTGTATGTATATACACAATGTAAGTGCAAAGTGATGCATCAGGTCTAGGGGGAGGGGTGTGGAGGCATTCTTAGTAGGTGCATGTATATCTGTATGGGCTGTGTGTCTGCGTGCACATGTTCAGCAGTAGTGTAACTGAGGAGGGGCAACAGGGAAGTAGCCACCTCTGTCAGGAGGTGCAGAAAATAGCCATGACAGCAGTGGCAGTTGATCATGCCACTACATTCAGCAGGGGTGTCAGCAAGCACCACAGCAGTCTGCACTGCCTCATGAGGAACGGACTAGCCAACTACACTTCTAACACTCAGACATGCAGATGATGTTATGGCGAATGTGTGTGCATATGGGAATAATGCTGTTTCAGAAAGGCTGTGTGTATGGGGGGCGGGGGTGTATACATATTTTGTATGTGTGCAAATCATGCCTATGGGGCAGCATGTGCTTCTGGGCACCTCCCACTACACAGCATGTGCAGCAGCAGTATAAATTAAGCTCAGCACAAACTGTCGCAGTGTCGATGGGAGGAAGCTGGTCCCATGCCTGCAGGCGAATTTGGCACCAAACCTCCATGCCCAGCACAGTTTCCACACCTGCAGGGAAGCAGGACACAAGCCCCTTGTGGCCAGTGCTCGCACCACATCACCTCCAGCTATGAACTCTGGCTTCAGCTTTGTCATTACAAAAAGATTTTATTTACAGACTGTGGTAAAAAAAAATTTAGGCTTTGGTTAGAAGGATGCAAGGTAGGGGAGGTGGAGCAGGAGCTAGGCTGGGCTCAGATGTAGCCAATGATGTCATTGCAGATGATGGGCTGCCGGCTCCGGCTGTTCATGAGGGCAGCGAAGCAGTTGAAGTCTGTGGCCAGCTGGGCAATGTTGTTGTGGGACTGATGGAGGTAGGGCCCCTTGGGCCGCCCGCCAAAACCAAGGGGGCAGGAAAACCTCTTGGTGCTAGAGGGGTCACGTCCACTAGGCCGTGGGGCTTCATGGATTTTGGGACGCGAGATGCTGGCCAGCTTGCGTCGGACGTTGCCCGAGAGGCTAAGCAGAAAGCCGTGGGACTTTCCTAGCCAGCGTGGGGGCTCTGGAGGCTGCAATCGGCAGCTCTCGGCACCCACTTCAGGCAAGTCCATCCAGTTCTCCACCAGATCGGCAAAGCAGTTGTCCCCCAGCACTAATGGCTGCCGGTTACGGCTCTGCGACAGCAGGGCAACAGTCCAGTCCTGTGCATCTGCTGGTTCCAGAACCCGCCACTGCTCTAGGCAGGCATCAGATGTGGATTTGGGCCGGACCCTTCTATTGGGGGCCTGGCTGGGGCTGCTACAGAGGAAGTTGCCTGCGGAGAGCCGGTGTGCCCGCTGACATGGGGGCAGAGGGTTTCTGAGCAGCACTGGTCTCTCCTCCTCATGCCACGTGCCCTCTGACACCTCTGAATAACCCGAGTCGAACTCCAGGCTCCTTTCACTGGCAGGTGGGGACAAGGCAGGTAGTGCCCGCTCCTCTTCCTCACCAGCCAGCTCCAAACAGCAGGCTGAGTCCACCTCAGAGGTGTCTGATGCCCGAATTTCAGTACACTGCTGCTGGCAAGGCTTGGCAGGAACAGATACTGGCTTCATAGGCTCTGGTTGTGGGGCCTGGTCTTGCATGCGTTTAAGGTTATGAAGAGTCTGCATCATGCACTGCATCTGCTCCCGCAGTGTGTCCCCTGCTGCTTTCATGCACAGCTATGAGAAGAAAAAGGCATGTTAGTTACCGCAGCCGTGGAAGTGTCACACACCCCATCAGTGCCCTCCTGTCTCTGAGAACACATCACCTTTCCTACCTCAGGTATCATCTGTCCTGGAAGTACTCTTCCACCCCCTGACATCACCCCTCCTGTCCCTGGCAGCACCTGTTACATACCCTCTGCACCCTCCTCGTGTGTCCAGCAGCAGGTTGATACCCCACCAGCAGCAGCTTTGTCACTGCTGAGCCAAAGTGGAACAAAAGAAAAAAAGACAGACCTTGGGGCCTTGTCATCCATGCATGAGTTCAGTGCCAGCCCTATCCTGCTCCCATGGGCTTCTTGGGCAGCAGCACTGACTCCCTGGACATGATCAGAGAACATCACAGTGTTCATCTACTGACAGTGGCAACCACTTCCCTGCAACTTTTACTCCTTTACACTTTGCTTGCCCCCCTTTCTCTGCCTCCCAAGTGAGAATCAACACTCTGCCCTGGCACAGATAAAAATCATAGAATAATAAAACCATAGAAAATTAGGGTTGGAAGGGGCCTCAGGAGGTCATCTAGTCTCAAAGAAGGACCATCCCCAACTATATCATTCCAGCCAGGATTTTGTTGAGCTGGGCCTTAAAAACCTCCAAGAATGGAGATTTCACCACCTCTCTAGGTAACCAGTTCCAGTGCTTCACCACCCTCCTGGTGCAAGTTTTCCTAATATCCAACCTAAACTTCCCTCGCTCCAACTTCAGACCATTGCTCCTTGTTCTGTCATCTGCCACCACTGAGAATAGCCTAACTGCATCCTCTTGGGAACCACCCTTCAGGTAGTTAAAGGCTGGTATCAAATCCCTACTCAGTCTTCTCTTCTGCAGACTAAATAAACCCAGTTCCCTCAGCCTCTCATAAGTCATGTGCTCAAGCCCCCTAGCCACTTCCATTACCCTCCGCTGGGCTCTCCAATTTGTCCACATCCTTTCTACAGTGGGGGGCCCAAAACTGGACACAGTACTTCAGATGTGGCCTCATCAGTGCTGAATAGAGGGAAATAATTACTTCCCTCCATCTCCTGGCAATGCTTCTACTAGTGCAGCCCAGTATGCTGTTAGACTGGCAACAAGGGCACGCTGCTGACTCTTATCCAGTTTACTGTCCACTGTAACCCCCAGGTCCTTTTCTGCAGAGCTGGTGCTTAGCCAGTTGGTCCCAAGCCTGTAGCAGGATATGGGATTGTTTTGTCCTAAGTGCAGGACTTTGCACTTCTCATTTGAATCTCTGACACATCCCACTGTCTCTCCCTGATCTCCACGCTGCTCAGCATTACCCTGACATTGAAGCAGGGACTTGCCCTGGACAGGGAGGCATGCCAGGCCTCTTCCCTCTAGTGATCCACATGTTCCCTCTCAGCAATGGTCAGTGTGGCTATCCTGCAGGATTACAGGGCCTTGGCTAGCTCAGCCAAGGTGCCCACGCTGTGGTGCCAGTGGGCCAACAGCAGCTGCCTAGGTTGCGTGTGCAGCTGTGAGGGGAGCTGCATATACAGGCCCTGGCTGTCCCCCATGCACCCAGCCCTGAGGCAGCACTTCCTTGCCACTCCTGCGCAGGGCCTGGCCAGCATGTAGCAGCATGTCAGGGTGAGCAAGCAGCCGCCCCACCCCAATCTGCAGCTACAGCCCAAGTCCCAGCCTGCCAGGGACTGACACATTTGGGTGGGACACCACCTTGGCCCAATAGAAAGGAGGCCAGAAAGGTGCCAGGCAGGGTGCACTGGAGCACTAAGCACTGGATGGTATGGGGGATAGGAGAGCCTTGCAAGTGGCCAGCCTGGACCTACAGGAAGTTCCCAGCTACTGCCCCGTATGAGACCCCAACTCTCATGTACAAAGCTGAGCTCCAATTGATGCCCACAATTTAAGGCAGAAAGCTGGAAATTCCCAGTGGGGCAAAAGGCCACACAAGCAGGCTGAAACATGATGAGGCACAACTTCCTAGGAGCCAAGTGTTTCCTGCAACAGCAGTCCTAGGCAATGCACAGTGCTCAGGGTACTCACAATTCTTAGAAGAATGGGAATGGGGGCAGCCACACAGTGCCCAGGGGAGTCTAAAGCAGAGCCAACAGGGGGAGCCATCCTGCTTTGGGACACAATTGAGCTGAGCACCACAACATACAGCTGCTTACATAGACATGCTAGGTGGGGCAGAAAGAAAATGTACCACCCACCCCAAACTGCCCAGCAAGGTTCAGTACAACCTTGGCACTGCTTCCCACAAAGATAATTCTACTACTCACTGATGAAGTGAAAGGGGCTTTCCCATTGGAGTTCCCAAAGCCCATGGCCCATGTCATGCCCCTCATTTTCAGACAAGGGCTCAGCATAAGATGGATCCAGGGCTGAGGCTGACTAAGGTCATGGAGGGAGTCTGGCGGAGCTGGAGATTGAGTCCAGAAGCCCTGGCTTCCTGTTCACGCTCTCAGCACTAGACAATGTTCCCAGACACAGTTGGGGAGTAACCCCAGGAGGCCCAGTCTGCGACAACACATTTTGCATTTTGAGCTGTTCCAGCATAGGTTCTATCAAAAAATGGAACTCAAATCTTCCCTCACATTTCTCTATACCTTCTGAGCCCTCTCCTATACACATCTGTAATATGCTAAGTCCACATCAGCCCCAAATATTTGCAGATGTGATTTGAGAAGGTACTTCAGGAAGTGACTGGAGTAGGGATGTGAGTTGGTGTGAGGGGACCAGATGTCACAAGCCTCACCAAGGAAGGCTACACATCGCTTGCCACTCATTAAATAAGAATATGAAGCCTCAGTGTTTGGTCTTCCCAACACAGAACTCAGCCTGACACCCACCCCAGCACCTTTGGATTGCAGCTCTTCCTCCGGGCTGTGGGGTGGGGCTATTCATGCTTCATCCACCCCCACACACTTACAATACCTGCAAGCCATCATGCCCCACCCAGGCAGCTCTCCCAGGCACCTGGATTTATACTTCACAATCAGGTTTATTTCTGCTCAAGCACAAGCTGGTACTAGGGGGACCCAAAGTTGTTGGGACAGAAAGGCCTAATGCAGGGATCCACAAAGGATCCTTTTGTCTTTGCTGTGATAAGAAAAGCCCATGTTTACACCTGGGTGAGAAGTGCTTTTTGCATCCTGCAAAATGTTTATGAAAATGTTCACAGCCTGAGTCAGTTCAAAATTTTGAAATTTTAAAAACACTGGAGATAAAAATCCATACCACCATTTTGGTCCAGTTCAAAGAAACCACTTTGTGCTTGTTTCCCCATCAGCTGAAACCTAAACAGGGGCCAAACAGTCACAATTCCATGCCCCTACCCCCAAGCCTGCACCAAGAAGGTCAGACAGCTAGGAAACTCAGTAAGCCATGCCAATCCCAGGGGAACTATCCTCTACTCTGCTAGATGCTGCTGGCCTGATGCGAGTAGGATCCGCTCCCACTAGCACTGCACCCAGTACCCGTGTTGGTGTCACTGCAGAGGTACACCTCCCCAGAGGCTTCTATCTCCATGAACAACCCTGAGCCACCAGTTGGGCGACATGACCCAGAAAACCCCAACAAAATTCCAAACTTTTGCTAGCTTCAGGAGACAAAAGGAAAAATGAAGCATTCAGAGGAGCACAGCTTTGGATCCCAATCCCTCAGCCATTCCCTGAGCGTCCAACTTTGCCCCAAGATATCATCACCTCAGGCCCCAGCACTGCTCTTCTGGCTACAGTACCACACAGCCATTGCACACCAAACACAACAGGAAGAGGCACAGCACAGCATATTGGGAGCAGAAGCTCAGGATTCAGAAAACTACAGGCCAGGGTAGGCCTGGGCCAGTGCCCTGCCTCCAGTAACACTGGAAGACTTGAGATGTAAACCAGAGGTAGCCAACCTATGGCACAGGTGCCACAATTGGCATGAGCAGCCTCTTTATGTGGCATGCAGCAGACTGGGGATGGGACAAGCAACACAGTGGAAGACAGGACAGGAAGCAGAAAGCAGCTTGGTCAAGAAGTACAGGGCAGGGAGCAGAAAACTGAGCAGTAGACCAGGGAAGGGAAAGGGATGGACGTGGCACTTGGGGTGGGTGTGGGGCTCATTTGTGGCATGCCTGCCAAAAAGGTTGCCCCCCACTATTGTAAAACACTAGAATTGGAAACAACTGCCATGGGGATCAAAGATCAGAGCTTCTCAAATGTGGTAAGTTCCCCCAGGTGTCAGCTTGCAGGAGATCAGTGCTCCCCAATAACAACACTATTCTGAGACCCCAATACCTGGTTTTGAAATGGTGAAGGGTCTGATCAAAAGCTCCATTTCTTATGTCTATAGCCTTAGCCAGGCAATTCCCAGAACTCAAGTGAGAGGAAATAGCAAGAGCAGACTCAGTGCAAGGTGACATTGGGCCCAAAAGATCTCATCCTCAGGAATCACTTTTTCCCAGTGCCCGCCTTGTCAAAATATAATGGTCTTGGGCATTAGGGTGTCAGAATTAACTAGTCCCATCTCTATGCTAGCTGCCTTCCCAATTTCTGGTCTCACCCAACTCTGATATCACTAGCATCTTTGGCCTCACTGAGTCCCCAGGTCTGATGTCATTATGATGTCACTCAGCAACATTCTATTTCAAACCGTCTTGAAATCCAGTGTAAAAATTCCTACAAAGTACTTCTTTCTGAAGCATCAGGAAGGGAAGAGATGATCCATCACAGCCCACTGGTCTCCCCAGGACACTAACTACACAGAGCCACAGTGTGTGAAAGAGAATCATGCTGTCATGTGTTTGGATGTGTGTGGTGGGCACTCTGTATATGTACACGTATGTCTCCGTAGTGGGGGAGTCTGTGTATGTGTGTGCATGCGTGTGTGCATTTATGTGCATGCGTGGTGGGGGTGTGCACATGCAAGTCAGGGACATGCTTGGTGAGGGAGGCTGTACTGAAGTTGCCTAGTGCATCACATGTACCCCAAACCCAAGATTTTCTGAAGTAACCAGACTCTAGG